TCATATCAACATATTATCAAGTCTGTGAGAAATAGCTTAAATATCAATTATATATATATATATATATATATATAATTGATATTTAAGCTATTCATTCTAATTTTATTTGTTATTTCATAGATTTCGAATCATATTAGACAATGGAAGTCCGAACTAGTAAAATTCAAATAGTTAATGTACATGTAAATAAAATAGAATCGGTCTCCAAAAGATCTTTCATTCCTACACAAATTTTTGGAAGGTAATCTGAAATGTTTGGATCTGTCATCTACTTTGTTATTCAGAATTCTGGTTGAAGCAACTCGGAACCTTGCTTTGTTTAAATTACCAAACCTCACCACTAACATGTATATTTCAACCCAATATCACGACTCATGTGGCTCGGAAATTCTTTTAAGGGTGAACTCATAGGAATTAGCTTTGCTTGATTGAAAAAGACATTGTGTTTAAATTTTTCATGCCTTTTCACTTGACTTATAATGAATTGTTAGGTTAGGTTAGGTTGAATTTGTATCTATTGTATATTTTTTATGTAAAAAATGGGTTTCATTTCCTGTCTAAATAAATATCTTACCAAATCTGGAGTTAAGTTAACAGACCACAGTTCGGTGGTATGAGCTGGAACTTTCTCTAATATATCACCTGCTGCGATGTCAACGATCAACAAATTTCCATTTTTCAAACCTGCTAGAACATGTCGATCTCCAGGAGCGAAAACAGTTGATAATACGTACCTAAAAGTAATGAAAACTTTTTTTTTATTCAATTTCAATGGGTAACATCATTTTTAATTTACTATCTTAAAAGTTAACCATAATGAATACATTTTTATGAAAGGAGCGAATTTGTAGCAAGTAATGGATATCTGTAGGCAAGCGTTCTTGCACTAATATTATCTTTAAAATTAGTGCTGTACATTCAAGAAATACTTTATTGTGAGATTTTCACCACACACTTCACAAAACCTCAACTCATGTTTGGTTATAAAATAGCTCAAATCTACATATTTAATGCTTTATATATTTTTTAAATGAATTACCAGTTTCCATATCCTATTTGGTAATTCAGTAAATAACCCGAATTCTTAAATCTATTCATTTCTGAACATTTTGGAAGATTGAGTTTCAAACTTTTCTTTTCCAAATGTAACACATCACAATTGTGATTCAACTCACGTCCTGCCAAAAGATGGTTTGCTAATGTGGAATTCGTCTTTCCATTCAAGAAACTACTTCTATTCTTTTTAATTATTTGGGAAAAATGTTCTCCCCATTTGGCCAATATCAAGTTTTGGGCTAACACCATAAGTCAACTTATATACTCCCGATCCATTCGACTCTAAAGATTTGTCTTTATTGTTTTAAATAAATTTGCTTAAATTATTATTTGTTCTGTAAGCCACATCTAAACCTTTCTTTAGCATAAAACGAGCGATATTATTGGTGGTTTCACCAAGATATGTCAATGTCCTGTAATACACACTATCGTTTCTTGAAGTTGGGTAGACTTGGTCCATTGCCTGGTCCTAGACCAAGTCTAGACACAGTTCTTCACAAGAATATTGGTTGGACTTAATACTGTTTAAAATAGGTAGCAATGAGGACATGTGAGGACAGTACTGAATTCTTCCAAAAGCAGTTGGTAAATGATTCCACTTTCCCATAATATAACATCATTACCTAATTCTGAAGTAGGACAGATCTAATGATATAAAATAGATAAGCAAAAGATGACAGTTACGATACAAGTGATTCACAATGTTCTTTCCAATTTGAGTTTTTGTCTAAGTTGACCCCATGAAATTTTAATCGGTATCTGAAATTCAATAAAAATATGTTTCAACAGGTAAACAGAAGGGTGAAGGACGACCTCTCTTCAGATCCTGTATTATTAAGAGATCACCAAACAACAGAATGAAAAATTTATAATCAGCTTCCGAAATCTTTTGACTTGTTTGAACATACCATTAAAAGTTTGTTATATGATTGAATTGGCCGTTACTTGATGAAAATTAATAACTAATGTATTCAAAAAACATCCGAACTTATGAAATACGCCACGAAACATTGTCAACCACCTTCAAACAACATTATTTTTATATTTAGTTTAATTTTCCTCTTGAAGATGATTTATATTACAAGTTGATCAATTTTCTTTAGGAGAATATCAAATGACAACTAATCCCTGAATCCTCATAATTCTTTTTCATTTACGATAAAATCCAAACAAATACTTACTCAGTGGTCACCGTCCTAAGGCAAGCCTGGGAAGGCCTATTCCATAACTTCAAGGATTCTCCACTGCCTGATACTATAGCTAGATTATCGCTGCTGAAACTCACCGATCTTATCTCACTATGATGTCCTTGATTAACAATTGATCTCAAGCATGTACCTTCTGAGTCTTTAATTGCAGAATGTATGCTATATAGTTCAACAATGTTATTCGATAGGACTACAGTTACGCGGAGTTCACCTCCGTTGCCAAGAACCAGATGGAAGGATTTTGGTTTGTGTGCTAGTTTGATGGATGGTAAACGTTTGACTTCGTCTCTCAAACTTATGGAAGTATTTCTGTCTTCATTAGTTGTTTGATCAGGTCCTTCGTTTCTGAAACAGAAGTTATAATTGATGCTCTTTTATTTAAATAAAAACCCAAGGATATTTTCCAAAAGTGAATAAATGTGCTTGCATTGTTTCTATCATTTTATTTCTAAGTGTCAAGTTTTCAGCATTCAGAAGAACGAATCAATTCTCTAAACTCACAGTGACAATTCTTCTTTGGATTAATCAATTAAAAATAAGAACTCTACCCTTTCTATACGTTGCGCTAAATACTTTTTAAGGCACACTGTAAACTATAGACCTGCCTCAGGAAGTTGCAAAAACATTTTCATTAAGATGTTACAATATACCATTACATACTGCATTGAACTACATTTTAATAATACTTTATTGTTAAACTGTCACTTGACAAATCTATATCTAATTGAAGTAGAAGCATCTGATGTTATAAGATCAGTTAAAAGCAAAAATTGTTTGATGAGATTCCTCCTAAGCTTTTTAAAATTATTTTTACTTTTTTTTACCAGCACAATTAACCCGCAAAATGAAAAACTGGAACATCTGGCATAGAATAAATCCAAAACAATTAGCTTTCCCAGTCATCAGAAATGCAATAATCTTCTTGACGCACGTTTCAGCAACCAAGTTGGCATCTCCAGGAAATGAATAGAAATTCCCAACTTGGAACTGGTCTCTTTATCCAACATGCTACACTTTCACTTACAGATGTTTTGAATAATTAACTTATCTCTAAGTCCTGGTGATTTTTCAAACTTAATGAAAATATACATATTGGGACAAGTAATTAATTGATGATTATCTTCAGATATCTTCATTAACTGAATTTTCTGGAGTCCCAGAATTCTGAGTATACAATATCCTAGTCAGTTTAGAAGATAAATTCAAATTATAAACACAGTTTCACAAAGAACAAATCAGTAGAATCAGCCACACACTATTTACTAAATTTGATATATTCGTCTTAAGACATTGGACTTCATGTAGTATCGCAAATGTTTGATTTCCCAAAAGATTTTAAAATCCTAAATATTTTATCCAGCAAAAAAAACGGTTTATTTGTGGATTAGAAATACTTTTTATATAGAATGGTTCAATTTATATTTTACAAACAGGAGTATACTTGTTGAATTAGAGCAACAACTTTCAGATAAATATATAGTCCCATAGAAATATCTCAAAGATCTGTTTTTCCAAACCAAACCACTATGATCGCAGGCGATACAAAAGTCATTGTATATGGAGATATTCCAAGAACATTAATATAACTAAATTGAAAGGGGTATATTTTTTTGAGGAAAAATCTTTCTGGTTTTCACTTTTCATTGAGGGAAATTTCCGAAAGAAGGAAGAAAGTAATTAGGTTCAAAATAAACTCTTTATAAAGATGTGATCCAATTATTTATTGAGTCTCATATATCAAGGCTGCCCAAATTTTTTTATATAAGAGTTATCAACTGTACCGCAAAATATTGAAGGATTACAAATTCACCAGCATCCATTTTACTGTTAATGTATAAGTATTGTACATACTTTTTTTGGCTTGTTCTTGTTGATGAACTGATCCAGTGTTAACTATCAGAATACAAAATGAGTCAAAAAAATGGAAATTTTATTGGTCACTACTTTTTCTATTATCGTAAAGGATGTTTTCAAAAGAGTGTTGAGCCTCCAATTTTCCAAGTTGAAAATCAGAATAATTGAGGCTGCCTTGAAGGTGGAATTGATCTTTTTCTGTCAAGGACAAATTGATGATATGTGTGCTTAGTGAGTTTCTCATTATCTTTAATAATCAAATCTGGTATTTCGTCTGAACCTACAAATTTTTTGTATGGCAGTTCCTCTAATAGTATTTTAATTAAATACCTTTTTCGTAGTAGTTTTATTCTTGTTTTTCTGATTGATTCGGCCGTTATTTGATAAAGATCCACAGTAATTTCATAAACTACACCTTACGATTCGATCTCCACAAACTTTGTTTGAGAAATATCAAGACATGTTTCGCTAACACAGTAGCTAGCGAAACATGTCTTGATAGTGATTTGAATACTACAAGTTGCTTCTTATGCTAATATTTATATACCACAGGTAAATACAATTGGAACTACCTCCATCAAGTTACCTAAACCTCTACAATTTTTATATACCTGAGGTACCTCTTCAATTATGATTACCTGAAGCATATTACTTCACTTCTACATCAATAATAATACTTCCTCGGTTTTTTGAGAAAACAAGTTCAATAATGGTGATCTATTCAAATCCAGTTGGTCATTAATTAGAATGTTTGAATTTTTGAGTTTATTAATTTCCATTGCTTCCAAATGATTCAGTTTCATACCTTTATTTTCGTTTTGTAGGATTTCAAACTCTTTGTTTAAGATATGGTTTTCTTCTGAAAGATGATTCGAATATGTTGAACTTGTTTTCTTATTAACATAGCTCATATGATGTTCCTGGATTCGATTCCTGAATGTTCTGCCAGTTTGACCAATATATACCTTAGGACACGTTCCATACTTCAATTTATAAACTCCTGATTTATCGAATTTGAATTTTTTGTCTTTATTTTTAACTAGCTTTCCCAACGTATTACTAGTTCTATATGCAATTTTAATATCCCGTTTCCTCAAAAAAGAAGCCACTTTTTTTATTGTTTGTCCAAAATACGTTAAAGCTCTATAAATGTCTCGAATCGCAAAAGCGATTCGAGACGTTTTTCCTATTGATAAGTTAGATAATCAAAATCAAAATTATAGAGCTGCATCCTTTAACAATATTGTTCCGAATATGTTAACTCAAGTTTTAAATTCGTCTGTGAGACGAGCGTACTTGTGCTTGGAAAATAATGGCGGGTTATTTGAACACTTATTATAAGTTTCCGTTTATTTTCTATAATACAAATTAGCTCCTTGTTATTACATTACAATTATATTTTATAAACTAAACTTTTGATATTGCGACTCATCTTTGTATTCAACAACGCAAAAATTCCGAAAAATTAAAATTTATTATAAATAAGACTAATCAATTTACTTCTTGTATCAAAATTACATTTTTTCCAGCGCATACTATCTAAAATTGAAGAAAAGCAGGTTAAGTAATCACTTTTCATTTTGCGCGAGAAATGGTTATAAAATCATATTGCGTGATTTGTTGCTGTATTCACAATGAGAAGTGGAGTATACAGGGTATACTTTAGTTTCGGCCCGTATAAAAATAAAAAGTTGATGATGTTTTTTAAAAGGCGAAACGTCGCAGAAAAAGTCAGGTTACGTTATCGTGTAGTTTTTAAAAGGTGGCCATGGCAAAGTGCTATTTGTTTTACATTTCCCTTGAAAATAAAGCTAGGTGAAAATAAAAACGAAATTCTCAAATAACCTACAGGAGGCACTTCCCATCAATTCTCTTTCATCAGTAGCGTTCCTTTGAATGATATATGTTTCAATTTCAAACTAAATATTTATAGTATACACAGAATGGCAAATAGTGATTTTCATCTTATTGGACGAATAGAATAGAATTTATTCATCATTAAAAATTTTACAATTGCATTGCATTACATAACACTTATAAAATTTTATCAGACTAGTCAAACGTGGGCACTAGTCTATATATAAAATATAAATAGATACATACATGTACATTACAAAAATAAAAGAAAAGCATCTTATTGACTTATATTAGGAGATTAAAAATTCTTGCACTGAATAAAATGCATTATTTGCTAGGTGACTGTATAGTTTCGATTTAAATGTTTGCAGACTGCATTTATTTCCAAATAGTTTGACTGCATGGTTATAGTAAATGATGCCTTGATAACTCGCAGAGTCCTGAAGTCCAGCTAGACATTCTATCACTTTTTTTTTGGGGTTTAAATGTTTTCATGGCATGAGCTGAGTTTCCCCAGAAGGGCAATCCATAAGATAAAATACACTGCACAAGTCCATAGTATATTAATTTTAGCATTTCCATCGAGACAGTTCCACGTAATTGTTTTATTATAAAACATATGCTGCTCAGTTCTGTTACTATATTTTCTGTTTGTGCTTCCCATGTTAGTTTTTGATCAATGGTTAGACCTAAATATTTGAAGTGACTTACATGCTCAATGGACTTGCTATCCATTTTTATAAGAGGACAAAAATCATAGAAAATGTTTTTCTGCTGGAAAATCATAAATACCGTTTTGGTGACATTGACTGTTAAACCATTATTTTTACACCACTCGGAGAATTCATGTGATACTGCATTTGCTGCTGGTACGAAAAGAGATAACTCGTTTTGTGCCACCATTTGAGTTGTGTCATCTGCATAGATTATTGTTTTTTGTTGTGACATATTTGAATTTTTCATATAACTCATGAAGAGTATAAAAAGAATTGGAGCCAGGGTTGAACCCTGCGGAACTCCCATTGTAACAGAAACAGGATGTGACTTCATCGATTCAATTACCACTTGTGTTCTATTTTTTATATATGAGGCAACCCAGTCATTGACAACTCCCCTTATTCCAAGTCAGAGCAGTTTTTCCAGGATGTTCATATAAAAGTCGGCGTACAGTTGTCCAACAAGGATCAAATATATGTCCCAAGCTTGTGGCCCAGAGGGGTTGGCTTCAGACGTTTTGATTTCGCCAAGTACAACTCTTATAATCAGCAAGACTCCCCATCAAATTTTATGTAAATAAATATGACATATCAAATAAACAACCCATGAAAATAAGTGTTATACATCAAAACATACAATCTCTAGGAAATAGTGTAGATAAAATAGACACATTTTTAAAAAACAATGAGACATGCCATTTTTTCTGTGCAACTGAACATTGGAAAACGGAGCAACAATTGAAATATCTAGGATTAGACGATTTCAAGTTAACATCATATGTCTGTCGAGAACTAAATGAACATGGCGGATCGGCGATCTATTGTAGAAAGTACACCCAATTTAAACCAGTGGGTATGTTAGTCAATCTTTCGGTAATACGAGAATTCGAATGTTCGGCAATAGAAGTAAATATTGATAAAACTCATATCATAATTGTGTCATTATATAGACCAAGTGGAGCTTCTATGGTTATTTTCTGGGATCGATTTGAACGATTGTTGATTTTTTACATAGTCAAAATAAAATTGCATTTATAGCAGGATATTTTAACATAGAGCTTAAAGATAAAAATAAAATAGGAAGGGATCTGATAAATATAACCAAATCCTTCGACTTTTCATCAACGATCAATGAATATACCAGAATCACATCCAAAACAAAGAGCTGTGTCGATAATATTTTCACTAATTACCATGGAAAATATGAAACGAAAGTAGTCGAAAACCATGTATTGGACCATACTGCCCAAATAATCAGTTTCTATATTGACCATCAGAATAAAAGCCAATATCAATCACGCAGATTCTTTAACGAAACTAATACTGAGAAATTCATTAATCGCATGAAAGTCCATGATTGGACATGTATATATAGTATTCGTAAAGAAAGCATAAATGAACAATCTCTTCCCAAACATCGTTTGGGAAGAGATATTCAATGAAAGTTTCCCTATGAGGCAAATAAAAAGAAATAGCAGAAAAAAAAACAGTAAAATTATAACGGACTGTAAGAGCAGATTAGACACCCTTTTGGTGTTGACACAACATAATGTCCAATACAAACATATGTACAATAAGGTGAGAAACGAATACAACAATTTATTAATTAACCCGAAGAAGGACACATACTTACCCATTCTGATGATAAATCAAAATGCATGTGGAGCATTTACTCTGAAATAACGAGAAGAGTTCGAAATGAAGAGTGTTGCATAAAAGGTGACCCAAACGCAATAGTTAATGATTACAATAAATATTTGGTAGACATGGTACCTCAATTACTAGCAAATTCCTCAAATATTCCATTTCACTGTGATATCCCTGTAAATATGCAGTCGATGTTCGTGAGACCCATAACCCCAGAAGAAATAATAGAACTATCTAGAAAACTAAAAAATAAACATTCCAGTGGAGAAGAATAAATTCCTGCTAGTATTATGAAAAAGAGTTTAATTTCCATTAACGAAATCATAGCATATATCATCAATAATTCACTGAAGTATAACAGGATCAAAAACCTCCATTGTGAAACCAATCTTTAAAAAAGGTGATCCTGAAAGCCTAGAAAATTACCGACCAATATGCATCCCTCCCAGTTTTTCTAAATTATTCGAACTAGCAATGTCAGAGAAAATTATAGAGTTTATGAATCAATGTAACTTATTTAGTAGGCTTCAACATGGATACTTACAGGGTAGATCAACACAAACGGCCATATATCAATTTACACAAAATATAAGGAACACGATGGAAGAAAAATTGATAGCTTTGTTTAATGATGGAGAAGAAAGCCAAAAAAAGGACGAGTACTCTATTGAAATACTCAACCTCAATGCAAAAATAAGTGCACATTGGATTAATAAAACTTAGTTTATTTTTATTCACTTCTGAGATGGGTTATTTCTAAATTCATGCATTCTATTTGGTACAAATAGCCTTGTCTTTAGCGGCTTATATTCCGGGTTGACGATTGAGCACTATGAAAAATGATTCTAATTTTTAAACTACACTCTCTTAATTCCATGTATTGAGAAAGTTTTTACTTTTATATTTTTGGTTTTGTAAACCAAAATTTTGAATTGAAATGCATTTCAAAAATAAAGATGTTCCGATGCCAATAGTTTCAGGGTATGATATTTTTCACTCATAAAAATTAAATTCATTCCTAATAAAAATAATATAACGATTTTCAAAAACTCCAGATGAAAGTTTTGCTCTCAATCGATTTGCAGTTTGTTTTTTTTATTATCGAACTGGAATCAGTATAGAAAATATAATTTTTACATTTAAATTCTTCAAATTGACCACTTTAGTCACATACTACTGAAAAATAAATTATCCACTTACTTTTCCTTTCTTCTTTCCTTTGCTAACCTTTTCTTCAATTTTATTTTGGCATCTTCATCAGAAAGAAATTGAAATAATTCAATTTGCATATCGGTACCATGACATCCAAGTATTTGGCCACTCACATCACTATTCATAGATACAACTCTACTTCTCCCTCCTCTTAGTAGTGCTCCTGCCTTAGTACATTGTAGTGGGAGCTGAAAAAAGTTTAAACTTATTCATGAATAGTTTTTATTTAGGACACTTATTTTATTTGAAATATTATAGTCAGAATTTACATACCAACCATTTGTAAAACTTTATTACAATTCTAATTCTTAAAGTAAAGAAGGTCGTTTGACGGCATAAACATATATGTTTTTTCAATCTGAATTCTGGTATTTGTCATACTATGTATTTTGGAAGACTAGAGAATAATTATAGGCAAAAATGTTACAACTACTGTTGATCATGGATTGCTGATTTATTCAAACTCAAAATTCTATACTCCTGGTAGTATTGATGAATACTACGAGCATCGTTGTTCTAGCAAAGCTCACGTGTCAAACTGTAATTCTTTAATAGAAAAAATATGTCATTAGAAGCTTTCTCATGTACTGTTTCCACAAAAGAATATGGAATTTTCGAACAATTATTGGTAAAGGACTGCAAGGATTTCCACAACCGATTGAGCTGACATTTTGCTTACAAGTTTAGTTTGGATGGCAATACATGATTATATAGCTAAGTGATGCTATTTGATAAGCAACATGGCAGACCGCCAAAGTGGGAGGTGAGTAGGGTTTACTGAAAAGAATGAGAAAAATGACATGAAGTCACTCTGAAGCCAATATGGCAAACCACCCAAGATAACGCATGTGCTCCATACACACAAATGATAGTTTACTGAAAAAAATACGAACAATAAATGTAACATCACTCTAACTAAATGCAATATTTTGGGAAATCCAAGATGGTGCAAATACAATTTGAAGTGAATTAATATACCTGACGTTTTGTCTATTACTGAACCAGACATTATCGAAAGAGATGCGGCAATGGTCGAAATTATCTATTTTGCTGCGACCATTGCCGCATTGCCTTTGATGTCTGCCAAAATAACAGATGAAACGTCAGGTATTAAAACCTGCAGACCACAGCTAATAAACCTAAAAAAATCAAACAACCTGTTAGACACAGGCCGTGAAAACCAGTACACTATGATTAATTTATTACACAATTTATATGATATAAAGGCATGTGTAGAAACATAGATCAGTTTGATTCTTCCTCTTGAAAATGATCACTTGGTGATCGAAACACGTGTCGAGGTGTTAAAAATAACGATTTGGTGTTGGGGAAAAACTCCAGTAATAGTCATTACTACAGCAAAGGCTCCAAACAGTGCATCATAAGTAAATTATTTGTTAGTTCTTTAAACTTTTTTTTTCAAGTCTCTCAGTTTTTTTTGAAAAAGTAGGAGGAAGTAGGAGAAAATAACAGAAAGAAGGACCTTCCTACTAAAAAGTAAAAATAGTAGAATGAATACCAGGTCAGTTATTAGTACCTACAAAATAGGAGTGAACATTAAAAATAATGATAATAATAATATAAGTGTATTCATAACATTTTATAATATATACATAGATTTATTAGAAATAGATGTCCTAATATACATAAAGATTATACCAATATATAAGTTATTGAACAAGTATGTATAAAAGTAGCAGTAGTGAATGATACAAGAGATTAATAGAGAGAAGATGATGAACAACTCAGTTGAAATAATAATGTGCTTGTAGATATTGAGATAATGAAATAATAAACAAACTTCTAAATAAACTGATAATAATCTTGAAAAGTGTAAGTTGTGCAAAGGTAAGTCATAAAAAAGTTCATATCTTTATAAATACAATCTCATACAGATATTAAATACAAATATTAAAACCAGTAATATATTTGATAGGGAAACTATGAAATTGGGAGTGATAAGTGGTGAATTATAAAAATTTAAACAAACAGAAAAGTTTCCTCATCCAATACCAATTATCGAAGAACAAATTGAAAGAATGAGTAGGTGTGACATATTTACAATACAAGATCTGTGCCATCTGAGAAGAAAACCTAGTTACTTGAATAATTATGATAGAGCTTTGAGTTCACTGAAAATTTTTCAACAATTTTGATTTACATAGTTTCTTTTAGTTGTAATCATCTGATGTCAGAAAGGTCGAATGATGAAATATCATATTTAAGAAACACTTTATAATGGGATTTTCACTAAACATTAAATATGATAAAATATCATATTGAACTTAACATCAATTGTGAGAGGAAGGTAATCGAGAAGACAGGGGGGATCATATTTGTGTTTTTGAAGGATTGTAACATCGTTGTTAATGAGAGGTAAAAGTAGAAGCTAAATGATGGAAATTAACTATTTATACACTCAATATAGGAGTTAACACTATCATTAGAAATTTGATCCAAACATTCATCTCATGTAATAAATATTTACTCTTCTAGACTAAAAAATGCCCTTTCTACTTCTATGATCACCTTGAGTTGGATAAATTCATCTTCCAAAAGTTTCAAAATATATTCTTATTTACTGTTCAAAGCTAAGTATTTCGTAAACCAAAAACCCAATTATTCATCAAAAGATTTGAAATAAATTATCACATCGCAGCTTATTTACTACACTCTTTGTTAAGGCAAAATAAGTGGATTTTATCTTCTTTGTACTTCAGTCTCACAGAATTGTCGCTCTATAACATCCTAGTATCTAGACTGCTAAAAAAATAAGGCAGTGAAATACTTACTGTATCATGTGATGATAACTTCCAAACTCTAAGTTCAGCATCACCACATCCAGTGACTAGGTATTGGTCATTTTTCAACAAAGCCAAGGACCAAACCTACATACAAAAAAATTAAACTGAAATTAAACACAACAAGAGCTTAAGATAAATAGTTTTACATGTTATGATTTAGTATAATTTGGTTTTTGTGAACCCTGTCATTTATAAAGTAGAATTTTACCTCTGTATGATGCCCTGTCAATGTTTCAAAACAGTGATGGGTATCCAGATCCCAGAATTTCACAAAGCCATCTTTAGAAGATGAAATTAAAACTGGCTGTTGACTCATAAATTCTATTTTTGTGATGGGACCACGGTGCTCAGATAACCTACACAAACCAGTTTCTGCAACTGTATCCCATATAATTATGTCAGTGTCCTGGAACATTAAAAAACCTTTCATCAGAAAATCTTACAATTCTTCAAATGATTCTTACCTTGGATCCTGAAGCTAATTTATGACCAAAGGCATCATATATTATGGTTGTAACTTCAGAACGATGTCCCGAAAAAGTGCTAACAATATCCGCAGATTCTAAATCATAGATCTGTACTATTCCATCAGAATATCCTGCGGCTAAATGCCTCTTGTTAGGACTGGCACAGATAGTTGTCACAGCAGCTTTTTCTCCAGGTAATACTTGAGCCTTTAAACATAAAATATTATTGCGGAAATAACAATTGTGAACTTAATTTCAGATTTAAAAAGATGTACCTTCTCTCCCAGCCTGAGGTCCCATATTATCACATGTTCACAGGCACCAACAGCAACAAATCTTCCTTCTTGTCCCTCCAAAGTAACGAAAACTGCATTACATGTATCACTGGCAATTATATTGAAGTTCCCAGCAGGAATATATCGCAAATATTGTTTAGTTAAGCCCATTATTCAGCATAAGATTGTCTAGTTTGTAAGAAAGATTTCAGAAAAACATTTTCTTGAAAACATAACCCCACTTTTAGTCAAAACAACAATCACAAGATTTAAGATACCTCTCAACCCCACTGGATACCTTGCTGACTGCCTTGTCAACTGTCAACCTCAAACCTCAACCTTATACCACAGACACAGTATTTTGTATATACAGAAATACTGTGCCACAGATTAGTACTTAATCTGCGCTTATACAGATACCTACAGGACAGCACAACTAAAGCCACATAAAGCTACGAACATGGTTGCCAATGGTGAAACTCGCATATGTTTCAGTTTCAAAAAATTTTTGTTTCAATGAGCGCGTTACTTCCAATAAAGCTCTGAAAATTGCTTGGTGTCACAAATGAAACAAAAACTCAATTTTTCATAGCGCAAAATTGATAATGAATTTTTGTACTGCCGAAAAACGTAACCTTAAGTGATGGGTACTTTTGAAACAGGACAAGGTCGAGGGTGACTCCTAGATACCCGGACCTAGGAGTCACCCTTGACAGGAGACTAACGTTCAGAAACCACATACGGCCGAGGATAGGGCTGGTGAGAGCCGCCAGACAGAACCTCAATGCCATTATTGGACGCAGGAGTAACATGAGTCTCCAGGTGAAACTGCTTCTAATCAAGACCGTTCTACTACCCATCATTCTGCATGCCTCCATTGCCTGGGGCCAGTGGGCAGCGACATGAACGCTCCACGATATATGCCTAACAGATACATCCACCGGGACTAACATCCATTATGTAGACGCATACATGAGAGAACACGCTGAAAACGTATTCGAAATAATACGAACACATGCCGTCCAGCGCTGCGTGACTTACATGAAGCACTCAACAGGGACGACCCCAGATTTCGCGAAAGGGATAAATACATGAGGCCCACGAAGCACAACTAACGACCACCTCCGAGAGCGCTGTCAGGTGGATCCGGTAAGTATTGTGGGAAATTAATGAATTAATCATATACTAATTTATTTATTACAACACTTAGTAACTAACGCTTAATTCATTTCCACTATTTGAATTTCTTGTTTAGCCGCTCGATTCACTTTCTAAACTGCCCTCTTGGGTCGGGAAGACGGGCTTGTATCGGTAAAGGTCCTTTCAAGAATTCTGTAGACGGTTCGGTACTCGTCTAGAATTTTACCGGTGGTTCCAGACTGCATTCTTTCGAGGTGAGGTCATGTGTTTGTCCGATGAGTCGGCTGGCGTATCAATTCAACCGGTATTAGGGGCGGTTTCATATTCGTTACAGTATAAAAACTTTGTAAACAGATCACTCACACACACACACGCTGTCTTACAGATACACACACAGACAGACAGACTTAGTTCGCGAGCAATAGACACTTGTTTCTGATTAGGATGGGGGGACCCTCATGCAAACATTATATACAGTAAAACACGACGAATCAAAATCAACAGACAACGAGAGTAAAAGCACCTAAAAGCTGACTTTCGACCGCGGGAGATCAGATGTCAATCTTGCTGGAGTGCCCATCAGCAGATTGAGGTTTGAGGTCCACTCAGGAATGAGTGGGAGTGGATGGACGATATTTTAGATTCTCAGGGCACTCAATCCCGGGGAGCATGGGGGGAGGACAGGACGGGTGTGTGGTTGACAGGTCAATTGTTAATTATTTCTGATATGGAAACTGAAAATTATATTTTGTGACCATATGTCTTCCAATTAATTGATCCTATAATATTCAGACAGAATATTGAAGTTGGTCATTTCTTTTGAGGAGTTACTTTTGAGTTCTAATGAATGGTCGGGGGAAGATGAAAATTACAGAAGGCCCACAACGTTGAAGAATTTCATGAGCTAAGAATAAGAATATCTTTATAATTTTTCACCTTAGTCTGTTATCATCCGCATTCTATAGAACAAATGAATGGGTGACTGTAGAAGGGGGGATGACCAGAGTCGTTTTTTTCGAAATCCATTATGGAAAGATGCACATTTTACTGTAAATAACGATCCAGTAAAAAGTCATCCGCCTGATTGAAGATGCGAGCATCACGTGAAACCTTGATAGTCTGGAACATCGAAGAACGGTTGAAGATTTGTCTCTCGTCTTTAGATACTTTCACGGGAGTGTTCAAGTGACTTGGTACATTTGATTCCACCAAGAGCGGTACATATAAGAAATACGCGACGGACTGTGGCTGCTCATCGTTTTGAGGTTCAACTCAGTACACCTCGAACTTTACTATTTGAGAACTCTTTCATCTGAAGAACTGAGTTTATGTGGAATAAACTTCCTGAGAACGTACTTTCGCACAGGCACCGCTCTGAGAGCGCCTTAAGGATTTTCTTGAGTTTACAAAACAGACATAAGTCGCCTTTCAATATTGACAATATTGTGAATTCCACCTAATGTCAAGGATCGAAACTGGGTAATGATCTTGAAATCCATGCTCATTGTACTTTCATGACATACCTTGGTGAGTTGAGCCCTCAGAGTAATAAAAAATAATATATCATTACTCTGAGGTTGAGCCACAGCAGCAAGTAACTTGTTATCTATGCTGTGGTTGAGCTATATAGGTGCGCCGACAGATTTTTATGCACTGGCAGAGAATTCATTAGCTCACATCTCAGAGTATTTATTATTCTGAGGCTCACATTTAGTAAAAAATAACTGACTTGAAGTAGTCCATCCTTTTCTAATAATGTCCTCAATTTTCTCTTTCTAACGGTCAGTTGAATAGTCGTGACCATGGTTGTGAAGTCTATGATTTAAATCCAAATATTTTATTTACATTTTCTGCAGAGCTTTTCTGGTTAGTTTTGTCACAGTGAAAGCTAAATAAAGTTATACTGTTGTTTTGTCATTCGTAATCAGGTGTGTTTTTATTTATTGTGTAAATTTTTTAAATTAATTTTTTATTCATCAAATTTCACATTTTGCAGATGTCTTTGGAAGAATATGAAATAGTAAGAGTTCTGGGCCAAAACTCACATTCCAGAACTTTCATGACAAAATATAAAACCAATAATGAACTGTTTGTTTGGAAGGAGGTGAGATTTGATCATTTGGATACTATGAATATAGAAAAATTACAAGAGAAAATTCAGACTAGAGTTTGTCTGAGTCATCCAAATATTTTGAAATTCCAGAAACCAATTGAAGGGATTCAGTCAGAAAGCTTGTATCTTGTTACCAAATTTTGTAAAAATGGCTCTTTGAAAGATATGATTCAGTTTTGCTTGAAAAACAATAAACGATTAACAGAAGAGTTCCTCTGCAAGATTTTATATCAAGTAGTCTTTGCTATTAAAACAATTGATAATTTTGCTGGCAAACTCCATTCAAAAGAAATATTTTTTGATGAAGGGTTCAATGTGCAGTTATATAATTTTGAACTAGAGTCTGATAATGATGCAACTGAATATAAAATGTCCAGGCTAGGTGCACTTCTTTTCAATTTGTGTACTCTGGAAGAGGACATGAGTGATTTTCAAAAGAAACTGAAGAATCTGAGTGAATTCTATTCAAAAAATCTGTTGTTATTAATATCTAGTATGGTGAAAGATAATGGAAACTTGAGGGAAAATATTGATAAAATATTATGTCATCCAACAGTATTATTAAATTCAGCTCAGTGGAGTGAAGCACATTGCTTTATGGAAATTAATGAAATCAAGACTATTTTAGACACAAGTGAGGGACATGAAAATTCATATTCATCAAAGATAAAGAAACTCAGAAGTAAAGAAATAGCTCTCAAAATGCGAGAACAAAAACTGAATGATTGGGAATACAGACTTACCAACAGAGAGAAAAAGATTGCTTCAATGGAAAGAACAATGAAAGAAAAGCTCCAGCAAGCTGAATTATATTTGAAACGCTGCCGTGAGAATAAGTCTAACTACAGCTCTGAAACCTCTAAGCATTCAGGTAAAAATGACAGTAATATAAACTCTGACCAAAATTTGGATTCAACTTACATAAGTGTTGGGGAATCTGTTATACTACCTACAAGTAAAAAACTGAATGTTAATGAAATTGTCAAGCCTGCACCATTCACCAGGACATTGTCTGATAGGAGAATCCGTTTTAAAGGTCACAGTCCTCTAAAAGATATTGATTTCAATAAAAGAAAGAATTTCAAACAGTTGAAAAAAATAAAAGAGTCAAAATCGGATTGGATAACATGTTCCGAAGATAATGATAGATCAAGTGCAGAAAATGATGTGAAGATGCTCAACAGGAAATGTAAAGAATTATTCCCGAAGCACTGTGCTACTTATGAGAATAATTACAGATCAATAATGTACGAGGAAGATTGTGAGCCGATTAAATGGACTGAGGAGAATAAAAAATATGCATTTAGGTTACTTAGAATGATGAATGATGAAAAAGAAAATAACTGTGAAGTGAAACACACCTACTTATGACAAAATACATTATACATTTGTATCGAAATAACCTTACTCCGTCCAATTTTATTTTAATCTTTAACAAAACTTTAGATATATATTTTCGGTGATTTCAGTTACATTTGAAATTAACACTAAACAGAGGTTATTGAATTAATAGATACAAATTCTATGTTAATATTATCATTTTATCAATTAACTCTTTCAGGATCCCACCAATTTTAATAGGTCGTGCCAACTCTGAGTGTTTGCATTTTCATGTGGCTTTGGTTCCGAAATGAAAATGTACAGAACATTACGTTTTATATTTATTACTTTGAGTAAGAACATTATGTGCTAGTTAAAACATATGCATTCTTCAAAAAATTCAATTTCTTCAGTTAAATTCAGTCAGAGGTGTATCTCCACCTTCCTCAATTTTAATTGATGATGAATTTAATTTTATTCACAAGAAATTTTCCATAATTGATCTTGATAATATCTGCACGTCGCTTCTACGGTAAGAAACACAAAATTATTCAAGTGAAAACTAAAAACATTGACTCAACTATTCGTTTAGTACAATTGAACTAGTCCAAAGTTCACACTGGTCAAGTTGAAAATTGGTTTAGTAGAAATTATTTTTTATCAGTTTGGCTCATATTAACTTCTACCTACGTAATGACTAATAATTTTATTTTACCTAAGTTGAGGTAAAAGATAATTGAAATTTTTAAAGGTAATAAACGAAAGTTTTACTAACTTATTAAATGGACATTTTTTGTTTAATATAATAACAATTTGAATCATATGAATTAAAATCCTTGAATTTTTTGTTTTTTAACGTTCAATACAAATATTACAGTAACCGAATACAAAGCTTTATTCCTTTAAATTTATTTTGTGTCGTGTTGACATTATGAAGGGCTCATGATGAAAATATCAGTATATCGGTACAATCAGAAACAACCCAAAGTCTACTAATAATACAGGACTTTAAAAGATGATAGAATCGAAAATCACTAATGTCTAGACATGGGTAATAATATAATTTTACTTACAATTAATAAATGACGGATTTCAATAGAAATCTATTTCAATTAAGAGATTGTATAGACTTTTCAGAAAATATCTCTTCTGTTTTATAGAGAGTATTTATAGTAAATCAAAATGGTTGCTTGCTTACAAAGAACAATTTATTCGATAAAAAATGTGTGTGTGTATTTTACTGTTAGTAAAAAGATGATGAGATCATGAACTAATTGAAATATTAATAAGGAAACGTTTTAAGATTTTTTTTGTAACTGCTTACAGTAATAATTGTTCATCTAAACTACTTACTTTGTAAATCGAAAACAAGCCCAACAAACTACTTCATTAAAATATTAATTACCAACTTCTTGAACAAAACTGAAATAACAAACTTAAATCGAGAACTCAGCTTTTCAACATTGAAGTTAACTTAAATCGATAATAAAATGTGACTGTACTATAACTTGAATCCGTATATTCGTGCAGTAGGTCGATCTTCAACCAAACACCACTACAATCGAGAAACTTTTAGTGCATTATACATGTAAACTCAGATAACTACAAACATAAGTCACATCATTCATTGTATTTGGGTTGAAAATTTCAAGAAATGGTACACACCTCATACTGATACATATGCTTTTGCGTCATGTTCTTTGCACGCTCCTTTAATGTCATGTGAAAAAAGACATGACAAACCAGTGAATATTTTGAGTTGACTCTTCAATCCCTATATGTATCTTTATTAACATGAATTTCTACGTCTTCTGTCTGACAGACTTGAAATATTTTTGCGAGTTTCTTTGGCATCCATCCTGAAAGGGTTAATAATTCGCACTTCATTAGTCTCTACTTGAATAAGATGATAATTATTTAGAGTGTACTTCAGTGGACCAGTATTATGATAGATTACAGGGCAGCAGTTTGTCAGTATTATTTTTTAGGCTATACATTTTATACAGGGTATATAAGAATATTTTCGTATATGAATTTTTTATAATTTCGCTATGCAGTGAGAATGCACTGGAAAACCTTACATCTTTATGATATTTTATGTTGTTATAATTTTAACATACCATTAGGTTGTTTCAAAAGTTTGTCCGTTTTATTGTTATGTGTTTTTATAGCTCCACATCTCAATAAATATTTAATCTACTAAGCCATGGTGTATACTGATCGAAGATAATTTTGTACTCTATACATTGATGTTCATTTTTTACAAGTTTAATTTTTTGCCTCTTCAGCTTATCACCTTATGATGTCATTGAGCGATTTGAGCCAATTTTTCTCTGCGAATTCAAATTGAACTAAAGCACTGCCTGAAACATTAACCAGGTATTTTGATTGATAGTATCAATGAATGCACTGTTCAACGTTAGTTTGCGAAATTTCATTCTGGAGATTTTAATTTTGAAGATGAGTTCTGAAGTGGTCGACTTACAGTAATCCACGACGAGGATTTGAAGACCCTGGTGGAGACTGAGCCATCATAAACAGTGCGTGGGATGGCGAAAGAACTTGGCCTCAGCTTCCATGCAGTTTTTGATAGTTCAAAACGTATTGGAAAGGTTAAAAAGATCTGAAAGTAGATCCTCTACGACAACAGGATACATTCAGAACAATGGTTGGATACCGATGAGCCACCTAGGCAAAGGAAAAAACACACCAAAAAAACTCCATGGTTACTGTGCCATCGGCTGGTGTGATTCACTATAACTTTCTGCAACCGGTCCAAACCATAACAGCCGATTCCTATTGTGAGAACATCGACAAAATATCCCGAAAATTGCTACAGAAACCGGAACTGGTCAACAGGAGAGGTCCGATCCTGCTTCACGACAACACCTGTCCGCACGTTTCACAAATCACTATCCGAGAATTAAACGAATTGAGAGTCGAAGTTTTGCCTCCACCACCATACTCTCCAGACCTCACGCCAACTGAGTACCATCTTTTCAAGCACTTCGATAACTTTTTCTCCGGTTGAACCTTCGCTAATCAGAACCAGGCAAAAACGGCCTTCGTCGACTTGACTGAATCCCGAGCACATACTTTTTATGCTGACGAAAGTAATCGATTTGTGTTACATTGGCAAAAGTGCACTGATTCAAATGGCGCTTATTTCGATTAAATTGAATGAGTATTCACTGAGATATTACAATTTGAAGTAGACTCATAAAAACGGACGAAACTTTTGAAACGATCATATACAAATTCATGTACATGTATAATAATTTCAGTTTACCTTTCACGAGATCTTACATATTTTTGTCCAATTTGAGTACCATGTGAGAATCGAATACTATATATTTTATATTAGATTGATTTGTGATTTTTTCTGCAATAAAACTTGTACAATTTTTTTTTTTTCAATTCCTCGCTTCGTTTTACTATCATTTTTGGGGATTATCATACCCTTAGTTCGTTTCAATAAGTTCGAAGACCACTCATGTCGGCGAAACATTGTGAAACACTCAAAAGTCAATGAATAATCCTGCTAAATGAGAAAACAATGGAACTTGCCCAAGAAAGCCACACTTTATTTATTGTTTTCCTAGATTGAAGTTATAGAATATCGAGTTTTTTCCGTTCTGTTATCACTATAACCTATCGAGTCTTTTGTACACTTCGAATATAAATTGTAAGGTTGAGAGGAATTTGAAAACAGACAAAAATATTTTGTTTTCAAGTCCTTACTACCACGTATAAAATTTTACCAGTTGAAATGTGTGCTCGTCAATAATTATTAAAAATGTTAAGCAAATTACTTGAAAGTATAATTTTTTAAAATCTAGACTAAGACCATAGGTTACTTGTGAACACTTTCGACTTTTTCATTGTTTATCTGCAGTGATCTTACAAAAGTACTTTTATAAGTAATATTTTTACATCTTATGTTTGATGAATAATACAGAATTACAAAAAGATGAAAAACTTTTGACAATCTCCATCAACATATATAAAGTGGGGACAGGGCCGTAGCGAAAAGAAATACCAGGGGGGGAGGGAATCCAAATTTTCCCAACCCCACCAGCAAAATTTCCCAACTTTCGAAAAAATGAATGCCGAGTTACTACTATAAAATGTATTAATTTTCTTACTTAGCTATCCAAAGATTGGCTGAATGCTTATGCTTGTTAGGTTATGCACAAACAAAAATAAATTTTGGTAATTATAAAAATAATAATGGAAATTTTTCTACTTAGGACCAAGGTCCTTGGTCTTCCACCATAACCACCATGTATAGGAATATTCAATACAACTGAAAGGAAACAACACTTAAATAATGGTGTGCTTATTGTTTTCTACTATTATTTTTTCTATCTTCAAGGCCCGAAATTTCCCAACTTTTTCCCAAGTCGAAAAAGCAGGGGGGAGGCTCCTCATTCCCCCCCATGGCGACGGCCCTGAGTGGGGATCTTTCAAGAGAGATAGAAAACATTAAATGTATCAATAAAAACTTTTGATAAAGATGTGTAGAATATGTAAAGTTTTCTCGTATACAAACTGTAAAAATAATTCCAAAACAACCACTTTTAATCGTAAAAATGAAAATATTATCTTTTCAATAAAAAGATGAAAAATTGAATATCCAGGCAATTATTTTGGTTTGGAAGCTATGATATTTTATAATTCTCAAAAAAATTACATTGGCGTTGAAAAAATCAATCGAACTTCACTTTCTTCAAGTATGAAAGTATGTTGTCATTAATAGATTATTTCTATGAATCGGTAGAATTTGTAACAGTATGTTTCAAATAAATTGGCATTATGAAAGAGTTCTTAAAAAAAAAGTTCGAAGTGTACTGAGTTGAACCTCAAAACGATGAGCAGCCACAGTCCGTCGCGTATTTCTGATATGTACTTGGTGGAATTAAATGTGCCAAGTCACTTGACCATCTCCCGTGAAAGTATCTATCAGGCGTCTCCAATCAGGCGGATGGCTCTTTTCTGGATGGAATCTAGCAGCTTCAAGGTATGCTCAAGGGCGGAGCTCCAAACATGAGAACAATACTCCAAAGAAGGTTTGATCTGAGCTTTATAAAGCATCAAAAGTTGCTGAGGTGTTTTCTGGTTCGGAACAGTGTTCGAAGCTTTTGAGAAGCGGCTTTTGCAATTCCAGCGACATGATTGTGCCAAGACATATTGGTATCTATTTTGACCCCCAACAAACTTATCAAAGCAGAAAGTGGAATTGTGTGACCTGACATTACTGTATCCGGTTCGGAGACATTTATCTTTTTGGAGAAAACCGATGCCCGGATTTTCCTGGCATTGAATTGAACTTTGTTACTTTTACCCCAATTTGAAGTTACTTGTAGATCCTAATTAAGATATTCAACCTCCTGCTGCCGGTGAAGATGTGCATCCGCAGCCGATATCCTGGAATCCTTATGGAATCTCGAGCCAAGGGTGCTTTCGTCAGCAAAGCAATATATTGGATTCTTGGTTATTTCCAATAAGTCGTTGATATACATATAGCTTTTGATATGTGATTTGTACTAAAACTCAAAGAGAAATTGTCTGAAATAATTTGATTTTTGGAAACTATGGTCCACAATTTTCATAACTATCAAATCAAAATCAATTTCCATTTTTTCACATTTCAAGCATTTTTGATATTAATACGACCATTTCTATTCAGGGAAGAACTTTTAGCTGACAAAATAATTTGTTATTATATGTTCTGCCTTGTCTTTGTCATACATGAAATTATTGAACTGATACATTTATAAAAATATTTAAACCTATAACAACTGACTCGAAGAACCTCTGTGCAGTTTGCTTTAATATCCTCAAAAAAAAAATTGTTCTGTTATTACTATATTCTAGCGACTTGTTGTTTGACTGTTCTAACTAGTTCAAGTTAAATGATGGCTTGATGAATATAAGGTTTTGATACGAAGAGTGCCTTGGTAAATAGAACTTTGAAACGAAAGTATCCCGAACTTTTACAATGAATAATCCCTTGTTGAAGTGGCGCTGCAGCGAATTGGAATTATGTTCCAAAACTAATTCCAGTAAAACTTTGTGAGATTTTCACTGGACAATTTTGCGAAACTGTAATAACTTAGCATAAGCTGTAACCAACATAACTAATTAAAAAGTTTACTATTCAGTAAGTAATGCTTACCACCTTCGAACAAGTAATGCAGTTCTCCCCGTTATAAAATAGATCTTCAGATGATATGGTGCTGCAGGTTTTTCCGGGTTTTCCTGCAGCTGAAAAATCAAATGCGCCACTGGAATCAATGAAGTCGCCCCGTAAGGCCAATTAATTTTTGTTGTTGTTTTATAATTTCATGTTTTGTGTTATAAATTACTACTCAGTTATATCTGTTTTAATGCTGATGTACATTTTTTTCAAAAGTAATATTTTAACGTTGGTAACTGTACTATTTGAAATTCTATCAGAGCAATACTGAATATTCATAAAAATGCAAGTTTATTTGTTAATAAGTGATCCTGTTGTTGTCTCCGTTAGTAGGTAACTAAGGCTGATGAGCTTGATCACTTCCATCTCATTTGATTTGTTGAATGAATGTATATTGAGGTGCAACTCTGCGATTTGAAATCTTTGAATTTTTTATGTTATTAGCCAAATTGCCATAGATGCTTTTGAATGAACTAAATCAATTAGTTTGGTATCTATTTCTATAAACTTTATATTCACAAATTGTCAGTCATGAAGCATGAGAGCAATTGTAAAATGTAAATATCAAACCAGTGTTTCCGGAATGATAGATGAGTTCCACTGCTTGTCTGTTGCTCATCGATGATTTTCATATACAAAGTTCTGCACTATTTATATACTTTGAAGAATATACTACAGTGAACTCCGAAATATATATGAGTACCTAACTAGAGATAAAAATATGTTTCGTCTACCCGACTTCAGAATGTCTTAAGTTAATCAATTCCTTATTCTATAAAGGTTTTGAAGAATATAATGAATTGCCATTCACTTCTAAGTCAAAATTATCTAAAATAAATTTCAACTTCCAACAGAAATTTCAACTTCATATTGGTTCTTTAATCATTTTATAAACTTTAGAAAAATATTGTTAATATTTACTGTAACATATTTACTGTTATTTATTTATTAGAAAAGCAGTGGGGTAATTCATATTCCATGTACATGTTAGTATTCTGCAGAATGCTATTTGTGTTTTCTGAATTACCTGACTGTGCACCAAAAAGACCAATATTTATGCAATTTATTTACAAGTTTTGAAATTTCCACCATTCATAACATCCTCAATATTTTCTCACTAGATGGGAAATCACTGTTAATTATACCTACATTGAATTGTCTTTACAGCGAACTCAAATTTTCGATATAGAGATTATATAAATATGGTTGTGGAATTATTTTATAGAGGAAAATCATTAGAATTTAACATTGTCTAAGCAAAAAGATTGGTAATTTTATATGGAGGTTTGAAAATATCAACTTTTTCAAAAATAACCACAGATAATTCTCAATTATTTGAACATATTTTGTGATTTAAAAATAAGTGATGAAAATTAGACCAAAATATTTAGGGTAAAAACAATTTGAAAATGAAAAGTTTTGTAATAAAAGAGTTAACTTTTCAGTAAATAACTGTGTTATTTCCCGGTTGGCAAGCTGTGGTCTGCAAGTACTTATACTACTGTAGTATGTGCTGTGAGACAACTACCGTTTCCTAGATGGAATTTCAGGCATTAAAAACCTGCAAGCACGGCCAACGAATCGGAATAACAGCTTTGAACAATTTTGAAGTCATTAATATATTATATATAGCACTATTATATTGTACTTCAACCTTGACTCATATAAGTTTTTATTCAATGGTAGGATCGTTTTCTAAGCAAAGCCAGTTGTAATTTTTGAGCATTTCACAAATAATATAAATGAATTATTTTCATTAACCTCAAGTTAATATTTTCATTCTCAGGAAACGACTATCACTCAACAAGTATAAACCTGCTAAAACTGAAGACAATGAGTATTATTCTGTATAATGGAGAAAAACAACATTGAAGAAACGAAACTTATAGACATTAGAGATGCTGCAAGATCATACAAGTACCACCACTTTTGTATGTTGTCCGTAAGTTGATTAGGAGCAGAAATTAAGTTATTGAATTGAATAATATTTGCGTTTGAAATTCTGTCTTCATTTTGTGCAGTTAGTTGATGAAGATAAGAGTAAAAAATCTAAATGAGAGTTGTGAGCAAATATTACCTTTCCTAGGAATCTGTCTGAAAAAAATGATTCCTTGCAATGTGTTGGAATAACTTGGAATGCCATGACTTTTGTGGATATATCAAATTCAAACTAGTGAGAATATGATGTGAGGAGAATTAATTAAAACATAATGATATGCACCTGCCTTAACACAGCAATTCCTATACATACGTTTTGTTGGTTAACATTTTATTCCAGATGGAGTCATAACCAGTAAAAGTTACTGGCTTTCTGTAATGGGAATTACTAAATCCTGAAGTAAATTAGTGTCAACAGAATGCAAAACTAGAATTAGAATCTCTGGCATATTAATAATTTCAGAACAAAGGGTGTTTCACTAAGTGAAGTACAAGCTTCGTTGGAATGTTTCTGCTAATTTAAAGATATTGGTTTGCAAAAAGATGAACACCCCTTAGTGTACAAAATTTTAATTTTTGTCTTCATGAGAATGCACTGATGAAAAAATTGTCTTCAGTTTGAAATTTTTGCTGAATGCTATTTTCAGGAACAAAAGTTGACAAAAACATGTTTAGGCATCCGATAAACCAAGTGTTGATGATAGAGTAAGCCTATCCATTTCAGACAAACTACTTCATTTATTATTTCTATTCACAATTCAAATTGAAGGAAACTATGTGACTAAGGCCATGTGGGCTTCTCTCCTTCTTTCAGGATTCTTCCATACAGAGCGCTTTTATCCCGAAAGAGAACTAATCTTTCAGTTTCTTTCTTATCCAAATACCATCCTATGCAATATCCTATTACAGGAAAGGCTGTTAAAGTAATTCCTTTAGGAAAAATTGATAGCATTTTCATTCCTTTTCAATGATGCTTTGTAAAGTTGAGTCCGCGTATAATCAGCGTAGATGCTACTCACTACAAAGAATGGTAAAAAGGTAACCAGACAATACCTTCGAAATAAACGGCCGACTGATATGGCCATCTGAAAAATCAAAATCAGATTTCTCAATACTTCGATGCTTGTAATTCTACTTACAAAACGATTCTTCCAACTCGATTTCTCACTTAAATTTTGTGAAAAAGAAATTTTAAGGGTTACCTAATACTTTTTTTTATCAAGTCTGACAATTCAAATTTCTACTTCTTATTATCAGCTAGTTCAGTGACATGATAATATGGACCTTAAGAGAAAAACCATTAACTCCAACAAATAAAAAAAGATGGAGATCCATGTTTTGGCACTACGTCACTCATACACGTCAAGTACGACATTTGTATTGCAAATTTTCAATGCGCATATAAGTAGTTATAAAATTTTTCGACTAACAGGATTTCGTACTCCGATACTCCCCTATTTGGGTTTCAACTACCCCAGCGCAGCGCATCTATGAATTAACCTCATCGCTATCAAATTATTTGGTCATAACACCGTATAGAAGTGAACACTCTATCATTGTCTAAATGACTCTATACGGTTGCCATAATATCGACAGATTATTTATGTTTTGTCAATATCAAAGAATACAGCTCATAGAAGCTCAGAATTCAGAAATTTTCGTACTTACCCTGACCACCAAAGGGCGATAGCAGTATTTAATGTGATTACCAACAGAATTGGGGAGCAGTCGCTAACAAACCGGCATTTTAATTCAATTTAATTTTGACGTGCATCCCGACTTCGATGTGATCCTACCGACTGGTTGTCAGTGACTGCCTGCTATCCAATTCTATAACACAATTCTGTAACACATTAAAAAATTGGGTAGCAGGCTGACTGCCTGCTACCCAATTCTGTTGATACTCACATTAAATACTGACATCGTACTGCCATCGCCGCCTGAGGGTTACGTTAAGTACTAAACATTTTAGGTGACACTAAAATGCCTCTACTGAGCTTCTATGGGCTTTGTATTCTTTGACAAAGCTTTTATATTTTATTTTAAGCAGCAATCATCATTGTCCAACTCCAAAAATCTCACACATAGTGAATTATCATTGCGTTCATGGAATATTGAAAATAAAATAAAATTTGGTGGAAGGACTGTATTATAGAATTCTCGATATTATTAATGTAACTCAGTTTGTAGTATTTAAGCCTTCGCGACAGATGACTCTGTGAACATATGTCCACCTTCTCTTTTGACAAATCAGCTGATTATCCATCAGGAAAACTTTGAAGTGATGAGGTTATGTATAAAGAAAGACGGGATTATGGGATTCGTTGACGTACTAAATAAAGATGTTAGTAGTGTAGAAAATGGCAGATGTAGGATTAACAAAAGTTGACTGTTTAGAGATTAAAACACGTAGCATAGAACAGACTTTGCTTCCTCTTGTTAAACAGGTAACACTGCCTACTAGCTGTTTGGTGTAAAGCAATGTTTTCTGTTATAATTTGCATGCTTAGAATATTTTGTTTCTGTGAAAAATGGGTGTGCTTATTAGATTTACTTTTACACCTGTAATTTTTGTTTGTTTGAATGATTTCAATTGAAAGCTGAATATTGGGGAAAGAATGTAAGATTATCACCTACCATTTTTGAATGGCAACAAAAAACATCACAATCAAAAACATTTGATTGGCATGTGTCTGATAACCTCACAAAATAATTACAGGAATTCAGGTTTTATGAATGATTTTTCATTTTCGAAAAAAAAAATTTACATAAAGAGTGAGCCACCAGGTCAGGCGAAACGTATTTTTGATTATTGTTAATTACAAAACTGATTAGGTCACTTGTGGTTATGATCTAAAACTACTTTTACACTGAGTACTGGAAAGTTCATTTTTGAATTGTTTACCTGTAATTAATTGCTCACTGAATCTACCGCTGTGAAATTAAACTCATTTTTAGTGGCAGTTAAGTTTACATCGGAATTTGAGATACCCAGCTATAAACTACTTATTAGTATAAACTTTTATTTTGACGTCCTAAAAGTTGTCTCAAAACCTACATATGATAGGGTGTACTATTGAAATCTATGGTGAAAGGTCACAAAAATCGTTTTTTGCAAAGATCTCGTTTCCTAAAGAATTTTCGCTATTTGTATTCATCATCAATATTGTAGAGCAACGGTCGGCAACAGGCGGACCGCAGTTCGTTTGCGGACCGCGAAAAGTTGAACATCGGACCGCCAAACATTGCAATGTGTTATATACCAAATATAAAAATTAATACGTAGGTAGATATGGTATACATACCTTTATTAATTGAAGTAATATTTTTAAGCCACATAGAATTCAACTTAGTATGTAGGTACTTATTTTAATTCAATTTGCCTATAGTGAACCTGTTTTACAAGTACCTACAACTGGAATGGTTTTATTAGTTTCCTATATACCCTGTGTGTATGTGCGTTTGTGCGCGCTTGCCACTATTTTGTTTTGTTGAAACAAGCGCGAGCGAGTATCAAAATCGGGGATACGGGCGTGTGGGCGGGGGAATCAGACTGTAAGAGAGCCCGTACACAAGCCACATTTTGCGGTCGGATCGACTACACAATTGCAGTCGTGTTTCAGCGAACTCAAGCCGCCCATAAGAAATATTGTACTACACGTACACGGGCGTTCACAAAAGTCAAAACGGACGTCTGCAGTCAACTTGCTGCTGATCTCCGCCGAGATGTCATCGCGGCATTCGCCGTACACTAACCACAAACTTGCAGTCGTACCCAACTGCGTACACCGTGGTGTACTTTTTCTCATATTGGTCTCACAGCATTCAATTTTTGATGTCAGTTGCTTCAACTGCAAGTGCGGTTTCTGTGACCGCAAGTCGACCACAAAAATGTGGTTGGGTCAACCGCGAAGTGCAGTCAACGTGACCACAATGTTGTGGTTGCCTCAACTGCAAATATGTGGTCCGTGTACGGCCGGACTAAGAGCGCCCGTACACGAGCCACATTTTGCGGTCGGATCGAGCACACAATTGCAGTCGCGTTTCAGCGAACTCAAGCCGCCCATAAGAAATATTGTACTACACGTACACGGGCGTTCACAAAAGTCAAAACGGACGTCTGCAGTCAACTTGCTGCTGATCTCCGCCGAGATGTCATCGCGGCATTCGCCGTACACTAACCACAAACTTGCAGTCGTACCCAACTGCGTACACCGTGGTGTACTTTTTCTCATATTGGTCTCACAGCATTCAATTTTTGATGTCAGTTGCTTCAACTGCAAGTGCGGTTTCTGTGACCGCAAGTCGACCACAAAAATGTGGTTGGGTCAACCGCGAAGTGCAGTCAACGTGACCACAATGTTGTGGTTGCCTCAACTGCAAATATGTGGTCCGTGTACGGCCGGACTAAGTCGAAGCGCAAACCGCGGAGCAACCATTCATTTGTTTTCTGATTTTTCGCGTTTTTATAATATTTTCGTAAGTATCTATGCTACTAATATAGATTCTAAAAAGCGTGAAGTGGACAGTGAAAATAGGAGGTTTCTGACCGAAAGGGTGAACAATATTGTTTTACGCTGCCTAATAGGTCTCAAGCGGCTCCAGTGTGCCTTATATGCAATGAAACTGTCGCTATTGTTAAGAGTGGTAATTTGAAACGACACTACGAAACAACTCATCAGCAATTTCACAAAAACCTTTCCCTTGGCAGTACGGCTCGTAAAGAAAAACTTCATGCGTATCTCATTTCTCACAAAAAAGCACAAAATTGCTAGTTCGTTGCATAAGCGAGCAAGAAAAATCCACAGAAGCAGCGCTACGTGTGTGCTGGACGCTTAATAAACAGCAGAAACCATTTTCGGATTCTGAGATGGTGAAAAAATGCACGTTAGAAGTAGTCACATCACTTTTTGAAGAAAAAAAGATGTCGCTGCATTTCAAAGTATTCCATTATCAGCGAGAAGTAATACACGAAAAACGAAAATTTTTGCTGCTGATATTAAAAACACTCTTTTTGAACTTCTGTAAAAGGCATCTTGCTACGCCATAGAACTTGATGAATCATGTGACATTGATGATGATGAACAAATGTCTATTTCCGTAAGATTTCTTGATATTGAGTGTCAGATTTTTAGGGAAGAAGTTGCTAGCAATATTATTACACTCGAGGAAAAGATTTATTCACGGTCATTGATGATTTCTTTACTAAATCTAACATTAGTTAAGATAAAATGGTGTCACTGTCAACTGACGGGGCCCCAGCAATAATTGTCAAAGAAACAGGTGTAGTAAAGAGAATCAGGGATAAAAACTCAGGTCTAATATCGTATCAGTGCATAATTTACCAGGTAGCCCTTTGTGGAAAACTTAGCGCTACACTGAAAGAATTGATGGACAGCTTGGTCAAGTTGATTAATTTTATGAGATCGCATTCTGCTCTTCGGCACCGACATTTCAAGGAGTTTCTTTCTGACAGCATATTCTGACTTAAAACTGCAACACGACAAAATCTTCGTTGGCTAAGTAAAGGTTAAGTTATTGAATGTTTCTGGCTGATAAACGAAAAAGTAAACTCCTTCATACAAAATTTAGATACGGAGGAAGCCAGAAAGCACAAACAAGCGTGATATGCTGGTAGTGGCTTTTTTAAAAGATATTTTGAAATATCCAAATGCGCTCAACACAGAATTACAAGGAAATGGAAAATTAATATGAGATCTGATACAAAACGTGTCTGCTTTTCGTCACAAGCTGGATATCTTTGAAAGAGATATTGCAAGACAAGAATTTATTCATATTCCGACAATTCTTCAATATAAAAATAACTCTGAAGAAGACATTGCAGTGTTTGTAAAATTTCTGGTCGATCTTAGGAACGAATTTGTTACAAGATTCCAAGACTTCGCAGATTTGTGCAAGCTATCTCCGTTACTTAAATCGTCCTTTGAAGTTGATGTAGCTACAGAATGTGGCTGCCAGATGAGGCTGCCAAAGGCATCTCTTCAAATAGAGATAATTGATTTGCAAGATGTGTCTTTGCAAATATATAATACTGTATCCACTGAAGAATTTTGGACCAAACATG